CAACAACAGCCAAGTGCCATCTGTTGGCATGCGGATTTTCTGTAATCTCTCTTTACTGATTACAACAATGACTACACAAACCTCTTAAATAATTATCCCACAATGTAAAAAAAGCTAAATAATTATAATCATTAACTCCCACCAAGTCTGCCACTCCTCCAGCAAATGAAGGCTGTCAGAGAGAGAGAGAGAGAGAGAGAGAGAGAGAGATAAAACGAGAGACAGAGTGAGAGAGAGAGTTTTTTTTTTTTTTTTTTTTTTTTTCTGTTGTGATGCCAATCATGTCTTATTTATACCAGCGGGGTAGAGTACCACACAGCAGTGACAATCTTAACCCAACAACATTCAAGAGGAAACTGTGGCAAAATTGACCTTTCTCCACACACACCACCCCTGCACCTTATGTTGTTTTTTTTTTCTTTTTCTGTTTGCTCAGAGGAAAAAAAAATCTAAAATGGAAAGCAGGTTACATTTTGTACCTTGTTTCACAGAATTTATTGTTCATCGCCCTACATAAAAATAAAAATACTTCAGCTTAAAAAGATAATCATTTTAGTGCAAGTGACACCTGTTTCTTTGTAGTCATGAATGGTCCAAAATTGCATTTGTTTTTAAAAAATAAAAGTGAAGAATAAAACACTATCCACTGCTTAAAGATTAGCTGAGCACCTTTTATGTGGATGGCCTAAAATACAAAAAACAAATGTGCTTTTTAAGGTCAATGTGAGAAATGAAAAAAACATGATTATGCTATGTGGGTAAGTTATGCTTAATCCTCATTGGACTGCACAAAAACCATCACATTTTGATAATTTTCTTGGTTTCTTAATGCACAATTAAAATCACAAACCATTTGACTCAGCTGCAAATCCAGCATTTAGAATTTTACTTTAGTCAAAGTAGTAATTTAAAATAAATATATAGGTCTATTAAAGTATCAGAAGTGTGTTTGCACAGTAGAATGTGTTGTAGCCCAGTTTATTATATTCATATACAATACAGCATGTTACATTGCATTACAGTGTAAGCAACACTTTGAGTAGTGTGTAGTAGTCTGATCATGTTTTTCTTCTTAAAGTAAAATCTACAAAACTGAACGTTTACCTCTGACATGCAAACAGACGCGCACAAAGCGGCATAAAAGTAATAGTACTCGAGTAATCTACAAGTGCTTCAAAGTTGTTCTAAAGTGCAGCCCTGACATCGCTGCTACAGATAACCGTGTTTCAGCAGTTGCTACCCCACTTTCATCTGCAGGTTTCTTTATGTGCGTGCGTGTATAAATCCTCATCTGTGTGTGTGTGTGTGTGTGTGTGAGAGAGTGTGTTCAGGTCTGTTTATGCATCGCTATCTATATAAGTCATCTGTGAGTGTAAGCGTCTGCAAGTTTGTGTGCGAGCGCTTTGTGTGAGAAATGGTGTGAGAATACGTCAAGGGTAGCATGTGTTAGCTCTGCTTCCAATATGAGGGAAATCTGTGGCACATACCTCCAATATGACACAAGCCAAAACGACATGACTCACCCATGCTATATTTGATTAATAAAACTACAGCCGGGAAAATGTGTTCCTAAACAGCACATCATTACCGAGGCATGGCTTGGATGAAGAAATGTGTTATTATTACACACTATCATTAGAAGTATTATTATTATTACTATTAAGGTATAAAGATAAAATATCAGAGCGGGGAATTCGATTTGATAAAAACAAATATTTAACGTTTGACATTTGCAGCTTAATATGTCATTTTTCACTTTGGCGTGGCGTGTGTAAATGCAGGAAGGTGAAGGCTGTCAATGTGACAGGCTCAGCTAATCCTGAAGAGGACAGGTGCCGTATATGTTTAATACCTGCTCTTCTCAATCTCATATTAAATGTTAGAACATGAATTTTCCAGCTTCAAGAGAAAAGGTTTCCATTGATTAGCACTTTACAAGCAATCAATTTTTACAAACTGGCCTGACCCCCTCATCTCTTTCTCGGTTTCTCAGGACGCCATCTCCCAGGACGATGGTCTTTCACGAATTAAAAGAATACAGAGACGTGTGAGTGGATGAGTAATTATGGGGAGAGGAATGACGGAAGAGGAGGTATGTTTCAGAGAGGAGTATAGATTGAAGGCATGCAACAGTGAATGTGAGGCTACTGAGAAGGTAAGAAAAATAAATAATGAGAAGGTCTGATTCCTGTTGTAGGAGCGACAACGACAGTAATCATGATGACGATGATGATGATGATGAAAACAGGCAACCAGGTAGGATGAAGAATTCCAACCTCACAAAGCAGACATATAACCTGACTTATCATCTGATCTCATCAGTGATATACACAGACCCACTACAACTGCCCATCAGTGTGAGAGCCGCGGTGGCCTCGCCTAATGATGGCTTGCACCTGTTTACCGTGTCACCTTTGTTTGCTTGTCTCCGTCAGCTACATGGAGAGGAAATGACAGAGCTGTGATTTTTTTGACAGATTGTGTGTGTGCGTTCTTGTGTGTGTGTGTGTGTGTGTGTGTGTGTGTTAAAATGTAATGAAGAGACTGTTGCCAAACTTGTTTTGTGTTGCAAATCTCTGTCCAGAGTTGTTCTGCTGTTGCTTTAGATGATCAGAATTATTCAAAAAGTGAGACTAGAAGAACTGGAGCAGTAAGTTGCTCATCAGTTTTAACTAGTCAGTACACAGATTGGCCTGTTTAGAATGAAGGAGATGGCTAGCCCAGCTCCATTGGTGCCTACACTTATGCACCAAAAAAAGCGTATTTTTATATACACATACAAAGATAAAAGATTTGAAAGTTCTCACACTGTTTTCAGCACGCATTATTCCCATACATATGGGCGGGTGGGGACCTCCTCCTACTAGCAGGCTTAGGAAGCTGTTATCACCTCACCTTAATGGCGCTCCATCATCACCCCATTTATTGGCGGTGTAAGCCACGGTTTAGTACTTGCAAATTGAAACAAAAGCACACATTTAGAGGTCAGAGGGGGAAAGGATCTTGGTTTGTGTTAAAATACACCCTGTTGCTAAGTTTACCAGATGTCACAACCAGGGACGGCTGTGGCTCAGGTGGTAGAGCGTTTCGGTAAATGATCAGAAGGTCGATGGTTCGATTCCGCCCTGTAACCTGTGTCATGTTTGTTGTGTCCTTGAGCAAGACACTTCACCCACCTTGCCCGGTGTGAATGTGCATGAATGAATTGTTTGAGGTGGTGGTCGGAGGGGCCGTAGGCGCAGAATGGCAGCCACGCCCCAGGGCACCTGTGGCTACAATCGTAGCTACCACCACTGGAGTGAATGTGTGTGAATAAATAATTGACTGTGTAAAGCGTCTTTGAGTGCCTAGAAAAGAGCTATTTAAATCTGATCAATTATTATTATTATTATTATTTCAATGTATGTAAAATCTCCACTGGAGATGCTTTGTTTGAAAAAATCAAACCGCTGGAGATTTTAATAATTTTAAAAATTATAATTTTACTTTTCTTATATTTGACTTGTACAAATACAGAGAAACTAATTAGCTCACACAGAGAAATATAAATCAACAACATCTCATAAGTCATGATTTTGACTTCAAAATTACAGAGTTATGAAATTTTGAAAGAAATCAAGGCTAGTCTATTAACGCGCAATGCGTTAACAAGATTTTCGTCCTGTTGTAAATCATATTTCAGTATACTTGGAGGCTAGCTTTTCCTCCGCACTGAAAACTCACTGTACAAAATAGAAGAAGAAATTTGTCATTTTTAAGAAGAAAATACAAAAATGACTAACAACTGCATTTCCCAAATATTGAAATAATTTTTTATATGCTTAGTTTTCCAGTGGCTCATCACGCAGATTTACTAATCAGTGATGACTCGTACTTTAGTCACTGAAATGACAAACATTTTAGCTGCTGCTGCTGATGATGATCAAGATGATCGTGTCAGTTTCAGAACAATTCCCCTTTAAAGAAATGTGAAATTAAAAATGTTAAACTAACCATCTACATAACTCTGCATCCAGTATTTAGAGCAAGCATTTCATTAAATAGGTTCAAACAAAATAAAAACATAAAATGCAAAAGCGGCCATTGTTGGCTGTTTCAGTGTGTTAAATCAAATTAACCTTTTTATGTCTTCTGCTGCTTATTTCATTTTTAGGTTGAAGCTGTAGTTTGTAGACATTAATTAGGCTGTAGTGTTACTTTTTCATCTGATAAAACATAATCTCATGTCTTATATTTTTAGGTTTTTTATTTTTTAATAAATCGAGTTACTTAAAAATGTTGAAAGCTAAACTTAGCCTGATTCAATAGAGGACTTAAAAGCAATCGGATCCAAAAGCAGATTTAACAGTGGGTTTGAATCTGATAAAATGCTTTTAAATCCCAGCTCTGACTTGCACTAGCAGCAGTAACATGAGCCAAAGGTGTCTCTTTGAGTGTCCATTTGTGACGTCACCAACATACCCTGCCGGTCCCTCTGCTGCCAAGATGAAAACATCCTGTATGTGCCTTAAAGCCCGTCGATAGATAAAAAAAAAAAAAACATTCTCAACTGTCGCCACCTTTTGCCAGTCTTTTGCAGTCCCAAATGGTATTCAGCTGTCAAATCACAGTCTTCTTCCGTGCAAGTGAGAATGCATCCATGAATATTTGTGATGGAAGCCTAATGGGTTTGTGGCTGGAAGGTTGTCAATTCAAGTTATTTGTCTGGCTGGAAAAAATTGAAGTGATGATTGTGAATAACTCACTCTGTTCTATAACTTTGATGCACTTCAGAATGAGCCACTCTCAACAGATACAGTAATGGGGGGGAAACTCCCAGGTACGAGTCTCTCGGCGGCGGGACCGACGAGTGTAGCGCTGCCTAAAAAGTGCACGCCTAACTGACTTTCCCGCAGATAAAGATTTAAATGAAAACAAAACATAAGTGCACGGGGGCTGTAAATGTGACAGACACCTTTAATATCCTCCCCTTTCCCCATGATCAATCGGTGTGATCGTACCTGCGTGACTGCCACCTCTCCAACGAACGCCGGATGTGAGAAGGAGCGCCGACAGCTTCACAGAAGGTGGGACGACAAGAGCCTGTAAACAAAGCACACACACCAGGAAATTCACAGTCACCCGCATTTGAAGCTTGACAAGTTTGCAACACTGGCGACAGAAGAGAAATACCCATTAAAAAATTGTCTGCTGATCCCCTTCCCCACGTAACCCCCCACAGCTTTATTTTTCCTCAGGATTTCCTGTGAAGACGTGATGTCATTTACACATTCATGAATAATCTAACAAATATATGAACTGTAATTGCTTGTGTATATCAATCTTTTACATTTTTCATTTTCTTCTTCTTATTATACCTTATAATTTGACAGCGTAATATCCAGTTGGAGACGAGGGGGAATCGCACTGGGACACATACTAAGATGCACATGGTTCGTCATTTGAGAAATAAAACACAAAGTTGGGGCGAAAAAATAAAAAAAACAGGAAGCCTTTCTCTCATAAGCAGAAAAATGTGAGAGGAGCCTGTGAAGCTCAGCAGAGGATGTTATCTGATCCAGCCTTGAAGCCTCGCTGCTTAACTCCAGAAAAATAATCAGGCTGACATAAAGTATATTAAGTAAAAGACCGCCACTCCCCTTTAACATACCATGTCACTTGATGAGCGCTGTTTGATTTAATAGAGAGGTAGACTAACTTCTGACTTAGGTCATGATTTTGGAAAATTATGAAGGATATATTTCCTAAACAAACAAACCCAAAAAAAAAAAAAGTTGTTATGCTCGATCGAGGAGGAAAACCTCAAAAAGTTGCAGGGCTTTGTTCTTTGGTGAAGAAGTTAATTTATCCATTTCTACGCAGCTGACTAAACTGCTCCTGATTTACATTTCATTTTTTGTGACATTTCAAACGTTTGCTTAAATCTGTTGAAGTTTGCTTAGATGGTAATCTGCGAGATTTTGGTTTTGTATATTTACCTTCAATCTAAGAACTAAATGCTCAATGCTGCCTTGTTTCTGAACTCCAAAGATCACCTGTCAGTCAGAGTGCCACGTATACTGTCATTCTTTTTTTCTGTGTTTTTTTTTTAGGTGACGCTCTCGTTCCATTAATATGGAAATGCTGTATTATTACTGAAAATTTTGACTCTCAAAGAAGGTCCTAAAGAGGGTCCAGCTAATTCTCATGGCTATTCCGAATGTGGGGAGGCAGCCAGGCATGAACGCATGAAGCTGGCTCAGTCCTACAACAGTGGGATAGTAGGGGGGGAACACAGATGTGGAGGGTCTGCAGGAGGGCCACCCAGATTTACCCACCACTACTGTTTCAATGGAGCATCAAGAGTAAAACTCACACTCGCGTACGGCGAACACACACATCCACACACACACACTTACACACAAAGCCATGATGTTGCCTTAAGTCACAATCTAAATTGGCTCCCAAGGGCATACCGACTACCTTGTTCACCAAAGGCATTGTGTATGTTTTCTGAGTGCTTAGCATATGCTGCCGTAACCTGAGATCTCTCTCTCTCTCTCTCTCTCTCTCTCTCTATCATTCTCTCTTTTCCTCTGCCTCTCTTGTACACACACACACACACACGTACACAAACACACAATGTTGCAAGAAGTTGCTCTGTTTTCTCCTTTTACGTATTTCCCATCAGGAGATTAATTAAATTCAAAATAGTTCACATCTACCTATTAAACCGTGTTGCACCAACCGCCCACCAGACAAACATCGACAGAGACATAACTACAGGCAGGGTGACTGGGTGGGGGAGAGCCGGGGGTTCTGTACGCGGGGAGAAAGTGGTAAGAAGAGAAGAGAAACTACAAGGATCACAAACAATGAGGAGTGTCACGTCTGCTTTTCATACTGTTATATGATATCAGAATACTGATGCATAAAAAGGTAAACACTGATTCTCTCTGTCATATGTAACCGACAAGAAGACGTCATGTGTCATGTGTGAATTAATCAGTTAAAAAGCTCACAATCTATTAGGTTGATTTCCTGGATGCAGTGCAGAGACTTTTGCTGGGGAAATTCAAATTATTGTTGTCTAAATCATACTTTATTGCTGTTTCTATGATCAGAATGATGCACATAGACATGAGAATGTCTTCCAAACTACATTCAAAAGCAGATGTACCAGGCAGGTTATTGTTTTACCAGAGTGAAATACCACAGCAAAAGCTACTAACACTTGATTGAATCTGCTACATCTCTGATTTGATATAAAGCGCACTGCAGAGTAATGAAAATAGCTAACATTTTAAGACAGTCTAACCTTTCCTGTGTTTACCTTATTAAAGAGTGTGTACCTTAACTGGTAGAGCAATACACACAGGGGGGAAAAACAATGTGTATAAAGCTGGCAGTGTTTAAGCAGGCGAGCGGTAAAGTAATAGGCAAGAGCAGTGAAGTGTTGATTCTACAAAAGATGCGGGGGAAAAATTGCACCTTAGTGCGCACACACATACACACGCGCATGCACACACACACACGTACAAGCAATCACACATATATGCACATGCACACACACACGTACACATTCCCTCCCCCTACTCAATATACTCCCACAACACGGCCGGCTGCCTGGCAGCCGAAGTTAACATTTTCAGAGAAAATATTCCTTGCCTCCAATAGTCCGATGTAATTCATTTTCCATCTCTGTTCATTAATCATTGTTAAAATTAGTGATCCATTTCTTCCACTCTGCCATCTGCACTCAGCTTCCTAACAAACATGACACCTCAGCGCATAATAAAAGCTGACAGCTACGAGGAGGCCTTTCCAAATAGCTTTCTGCATATGTGCACCTCCATGTCTTGATGCTGTTGTCAGACAAAAGTAGGTTATTTAGACCACTGGCTGGAGAGAACTGCATATGAGTAGATGTATATGAGTACAGATGCATGCTCAAACATATATGAACATATATATATATACACTATGTTTATGCGGATTTACACTCATTAGTTCCAAGACTATGCAGACACAGTACGTGTTGAAGAGGCCAAAAATTAAAAAATAGAAAAATAGGACACAAACATTTTTTTAGAACGTCTCCTGCACAAACTTCCACAGCTATGTACCAGCTTATACACAAGACTACTGGGAACATGTTAATATCATAATAGCAAACGGGTAAAACAGGGAAAGTGAGAAAAAGAGAAGCATCCAAGATGAAAAGCAATCATGAAACTGAAAAGAGCAAAAGACGCCGAGAGAGAGAGGCCTTAAAAGTTTTAAGTATCCTGTTTACCCCGACAAGGGTTTTGCTTTAACTTCAGCTGGAACATTGTTGTACTTTTCCATTCGCATTTGCTTCCCACAGCTGTGGCATTTGTGTGTATTTGTTGTGATACTGTATATCAGCTCAGCTACGCCCTGATCACACTGAGCTAAGCTAGGAGCTAATTCAGCAGATAAAACGAGCGAGAAGAGAAAGAGCAGCGACAGTGGACAAGAGGATGCCCCTCTCTTCTCTCCGGCCTGATAAATACACCTCCTAATTCACCATAAATACCTTAACAGAAAGCTGTCCCTACATGACCCCCTGACAGCCCTGTCTTCAGGCCAGAGCGCATTTTAATTTAGATCCTGAAAGGTAACACGTTTAACACCCTGGAATACGTAAAAATTAGGTGAAAAGTGATGTCACCTGTTTTTTTCTGGTGCATTTACTGCGCGCACACTCATAGCTTAATGATGCGTAAAGCAAGACCACACTCTGATAACTGTGAATTCTGCTGCATTTCTGGAAGGAAACAGGTACGTCTACATCAGAAACCCAGGCTACAAATACAATCTTTTCTGCTTTATACTCTGTCATTACTTATTAATGTGACACAAGTGTGTTGTTTATTGCATAATTTCTATTATAAATGAACAACTTTTTCACTTTAAATGAATGTTAAATCATACAACATACATTTAAAAGAAAAAAATCATTTTAAAATTGACCAAGTGATTGTTAACACGGCTGAAGCCTCTTTCTCTCCTTTGTGCTCTCTGTGCTGCTCTCTCCAACATGCACAGCTTACTCAGAGTACCTTCAGCGTGTCTCTTGTTAACACTCCCCCCCAAACTGTCCCTTTCACATCCACGCACACACATATGCACGCAATCACAAGTGTGCGCACACACATGCACACACACACACACACATACACACACTTGTACGCACACTTAAATTCAACAATCCAATGCCGCTGTAGTCCTCTGATTCTCTTCTGTACACACTCAAACACACACACAGGCAGGATCCCTCCCTGGCAAGGTGTGTGTGTGTCTCTGCCCGAGGCACAGCACATTAATCTATATAATGCCCTCAAAGAGAAGGCTTTTTCACACCGCTAACTGCCAAGGACTACGAGGGGCAGCGGCTGAGCCATGATTCAGCTGTTAGCCCAACTGGCGTCCCTGCGCACACGCACAACGTGCACCCCTTCACCACTCTCACATCCCTCTCAACACTCACACACACACACACACACACAATATGTGTGCAGGAGTATACACATGCATCCTTCACTGGCAAGAAAGACAACACACACACAAGTCAACTCACAGGACACATCAATCAATACTAAAGCTGGGTATCAAACCTCAACACTTTTATGGTATAGAATGAATCGTGTTGGAAAGCATTAAAAAAAAGTCTGCCTCACATTCACATTGTTCTTTACTGATTCCTTGATCAGATAGTTCCTGCTTTAGATTGTAATGATGCTGAATTTAGATTTGCATTGATATTAGATTTATTATCTACAGATTATGGATAAAAACTAACATTTAGCAGCCCTGGTCAGCACGGATCGAGTGTCGTCTGAATGAGGTAAAGCTCAATGGTTTTGATTACATATATAATAGTGGCTGCTAAAGTCAAGAGTGCCCTGTAGAATTTTTAAAATTCCACCAATTAAATTTAGAGAGCTCCCAAGAAAGCAAACCCTGCATCATCTTCCCGAGACCATACCTCCTCCACTACCAGCAGACACTACAGACACTTTACTGATGTTACCTTGCAGGATTTCTGGGCTTCACCATTCTCATATTTCAAACTGTAA